AACCGGTTTTTTAAAAAAAATTTATATATATAAATTTTTAAAATTTATATAAAAAACTTTCTAAACCTACTACCCAGTAATTAAAACATATAAAAAAAATTTTTTAAGTTATCAACATTAGACCTGGCCGTTTATGAAACCAATAAATTAATTTTTTTAATTTATCACAATATACCAGTGAATTTAAAGTCTATTTTCAACAATAGCCATAACGGTAGTCGAAAATTACTGATGTAGTGATGTACAGTACATGAGCATATGTGGGTGAGTCAGTAGAAATGCACCATATTTTTTCTATGTAAATTTTTTAAAACTTTGAACAAGAATAACTCAGCCAATTTTTAATCAAATTTAATAAAAAATTTTAGAATTAATTCTAAATACTTGTAAAATTTATTTTCGCGGCTGATGCTGAAATTTTATCTATTTTATTATGAAATTTTAAAAATTTTTTGGGACTTTTCGTTAGGGTTTTTTTTATAGAGTTAAGTTAGGGTTTAGGGTTAGTGTTATTAGTAAAAAAGTATATGTGAATTTTAGCAGGTATTATGGATTTAAATTGGGACCCTAAATTTCAGCATCAGCCAATTCCATCATCAGCCATGACAAATTGTTTTATTAAATATGATTAAATTTTGCTAAATTATATTTGTTTAAAAATTTAAAAAAATTTACTAAAAAAGATATAGTGCGTTTCTATTGACTCACCCCATATGTCCAAGCAAATAATTGGACATGGACAGTCAATGTCCAATGCCTATCTCCATAGTTTGGACATGTCCATGTCCATGTAGGGATGGCAAAGTTCTCGAGTCCGGGACTTTAGGACCTAGTCTTGGGACCTATTTTTTAAAGACTAGGTCTTGATTTTAGGGCCTAGGTTTATAGGTCTACAATAGGTCCTAATATAAAATAATATTTTGTGATCTTATATCCAGATAATAGTAGATACCATGCTTTTTAACCAATTTTAATTGGCTAAAAGTATTTATAGCTGAGTTCAAGTACTAAGTTCTAGACCAATTTTGATAGAATTATTCATTATTTTATACAGGCACAATCCAAAGTTGTCAGCAAATTTTTAAAGCTAAGCTCTAGGACTTATAATATGAAGACCTGGCCTGAAGGTCCGTGTAGCAGTACTTACAAATCCTAGGACCAAGACCGGACCTTGACTGACTTTGCCATCCCTATGTCCATGTCCATTGGCAACACTGCTGTTACATGTAATAAATAAAACAACATAACTATAACAAAATGCTATAATACTTACTCTATTAATTTAATATATAATTATTATATCATTAAAAATATTATAAATTTTAAAATTAACTAAAATTTAATACTTACGATCTATTATTTTAGCATATAAAATTAATATCTACAATCAATATTTTTTATAAGATTAAATTCTATACTTACTTTCTAATTGTTAAAATGAAAATTTTATTATAAAAAATTATAAACAAGTTAATTTAAATATTATTTTTAAAAATCCCAATATATTATACTTACTCTCTATGAATCAATAGAAACAATTTATTCGAAAATTCATATAGTTCATATAAAATGTAGATTTTAAACTTTTATATTTACAGCCTATTATTTAGTATGAATTGTTAAATAATTATTTAATAGAAATATATTTATTTTCTATATAAATTAATAAATTGCACTTACTCTCTATTAATTTATATATATTAAAATAAGGAAAAAGTTAAAAAGTTAAAACATTCAAAACAAATACAATCATTTACTTACTCTCTATTATTATTTTTACATATAAATATAGATTGGTATAATATTAAAATTAATAATTGTAAAATGTAAATATTATAAAGAATAATCAAAATAATCTTTATTTACATTCTAATTTAATATAAATTGCATACGTAGTTAATTACAATTATATAAAATTGATTTTAATAAAAAATTTAATAAACTTATACTTACTCACTATAATTGGATTTTAAAATTAATTTAATTGTTATTTTTTAAAAGATATTTAAAATACAATTAAAGATAAACTTTATACATACACACTAGCGATAATATAGTATATAATAGCAAAATATTAAGATCCAATCCATAATAATTTTTGTAAATAAAATCTTTGATAAATTAATAAACTGCCAACATAATACAGCACAATTGAATCCGAAGTATTCAATAATTCTATATTACTTAAATATTTCATAATAACAGTAAAAGAGTATATCATATTTGTGCGTAATAATGCCATATGCTTTATTTTGAACAATGTTCTTAATTAAGTTTAATTTAGATTGATACTCAAAATTACTTCATTGGTATTATGTCGCTCAAATACGTAGTTATTGTATTTTTTATCAAAGATATTACTAAATAAATTCAAAACTATTCTTACCGTCTAATAAATATACATACATATATATATATATATTTAAAGACAATTATGCAAATTTATTTTTAATAAACTTAATTAAATGTATACTTACTTTCTATTAATTTAGAATATATAATTTGATTAATAATCAATATAGCAGATTTTCATAGTTATTGAATATTCATTTTAAGCACTAGTAATAACTTTTTACAAATATTCTTATTATTTTTTACTTACTTTCTAATAGTATGTAAAGTAATTTATAATATTTATTAATATAGTTTTAAAAATATAGTAAGAATAAACTCCATACTTACCTCCTAGCACGTATAAAATTGATTAAAGAAACAATGTTTAATAATAAACTACATAAAACATCATATTTTCACGAAATAACAGTCATGGGTGTTATTTAGAAATACATGTTCCTAAGAATGCCATGCATAGTTTAAATCAATACCCAAAATGCGCATCCTAAAATAACGTGTTCCATATTAGGGTTTCAACAAATAATTAGATATAATAAGTAGGGTTTAAGAAAAAAATTTTTATGTCCAAAATAACATCTATGCACTCGTTCGAAATGACAAGCATATACTCAAATAGTATACAGTAGGAGTTATTTCATTATGATATGATATTAAACTTTAAAAAAAAGGATCTAAATAAGCTTTATCTTACTTCCTATAAAATATATAGAATTAGTGAAAAATATTTAATTAAGTTTGCAAAATTTATTAAAAATAAGCACGAATATATGTTAGATATACTTGCCATCTAATTTAAATATGGAATTTATTAAAATTTCTTGTAGAAAGATTAATTATACTCACAAGCTATTAATTTATAACACATGAAATTGATCATAAAACAATATTGAGACAATGCTTTTGATAGTTGTAAGAATGAGGCTCAATGAACTTATCACTTACTCCCTATTAATTTTCATGAATAAAATAATTTTAATGATATATTCTTGTAGTTACTGACTTTAATAAAATAGGTTTATACATATGAACTATTAACACATACGAAATTGATTATATAGTATAAATAATAAATCTTTGTAAACCATTAACTTTAAAATGAATCTTGATACTTACAATCTGTTAACGGTTTAATTGGTAATAAGCAATCATTATTTACAAAATTCTGTCTTCTGCGATAATAATCACTCCAGAATTTATAACCCATTGACAAAAATCAATTTTATACTTACACACTTATTTAGCAAGATAAACACTAAGTGATAAATAATTGATTAAGTATTTTTTAAAATAAATTTTATAAATTTATAATTACCTCCTAATTAATATAATATTAACAAATACTGTAAAATGTTGATTTAAAAATGCTCCCCAAGTGAATTATACTTACTCTCTATTTATATGGAATTATTTATAGAAAACGGTTTTTAAATATTAAAAATGAAGGTACCTAAATAATCATTATACTCACTCACTGAGAATTTGTTTTCGAGTTTTTAACACCCACTCATCATTTTTTATAATACTTAACAATTTGTCTAGATCTGTTAGAGATTCCTTATACTTTTTCATCATATAATAGGTTGCTCCTCTATAACTTAATGCAAATTCACTATTTGGGTTAGTATCTAGCAATTTTGATAAAGTTATAAGCGTATCTTCATATCTTCCCACAGTAAAATAAGCTTTTACTCGATATCTTAGTGTAAATTCATTATTTGATTCGTCTTCAGGTAAGGTTTCAAAATCTAAAAACCTGTTAACCATTTCATTCATCGGTATATTACTGCATTGATTAAAAGCTTTATTCCATTTTTCTTTTAATATTTCATCGTTAATATCATCATTGTTAATTGCTATAAAATGCATTAATATATTAAAAAAAGAAAAAAAACCAAATTCTTATGACTACTTTATTTCAAGGAAATTTACCCGCATATTTGAACTTTTTATGACCAAAATTCACTTCTACTGATGCACCTTTAGACCTCAATCCAATACAAGGATACAAAGCAACGTCCAAATCTTGGAATTTGATTCCTTAAATAAATTACAGTATAATTATAAACATATGTAATTATTGTAACTAAAATTCTATTAATATAATAATTACCTAAATTAACTCCATTTATGGTATAGAATATAGTATTGGATATAAAATTCAAACAACATCCAATTATATCGCCATTTGTGAATTTTGGTCCATATGGTATCATTATTCCCGAGTTATAAAAAAAATTTCCATCATCACCATGATACCCCCATGAGTCGTTTTCCCAACCTAAAAAATAGTATATTATGAACAAAGAAAAAAAAAGACTGTGAGTTCAATTTCTGATAATTTATTTAATTTCACCGGAAATTGAATCACTTATTTAGGGAACTAATATTTCTGATATTGCACATGATATAAATTGCGTGTACATATGATTTGTTTCAATAGTTGCAATCGCATTCACAAGGGTGTAAAATACTAATTCCCTAATTTAATAAATTATTTTCTAACAAAAGAACAAATGTAATTACCCGGCATCGTATTCAAATTAATAGTTTTAGTGCAGCAACCAATTCCAATAATTCTTTTAGATAATATATTACGACTTTTAAATACTAATCGTTAAATATCTATAAATCATTATCTCTATGAATTATAACATATACCCATTCTTTCCCTTATTTATAATAGATGCTTCAAAATAAAATATTCCAGACTGTGATGGAATTGGATTATTTGCGCGTATTGTAGCACTATCTTTATCATTTCTACCGAAGCCTTTTTGTTTAAAAATAAAAATCTCAATAAGTTGCTTGACAATGTATTAGAACTCGATGTCATGTCCAATTGAGGTACAGGTCAATCAATACCAAATTCGTAATCCATGAGCGTTACTTCGCGACATGTGTAGTAAAATTTCAAGTAAATTTTTTGGACGCTTATAGTGAAATTGATGACTTTTTTTTTAATTTCTATTGTTTCAAATTTTTATGCTTCATTATAAACGGACAAATTCACTTTCTGTTTTCACTAGTCAAAATGTCATGTGATGTGTATCAATATTTGATGCGAAGGGTATTAAGTACGTTGTTATTCGAACGTTTTGTGAATGTAATTTACTCGACAGTGTAATATTGATATTGTTATAGATGCAAAGCCATAAATCGAAAAATAGCCTTTAAGCATTATGACATTGTAATAATCACCTATATAATTTACTACCAGTCTGTTAGAGTCTACACTTAAATTATCGGAGATTTTGTCTCTATTCCATGCTGTCGGTAAACTATTCTTACTGTGCAATTCCATACTAACTATTGAATGTTTTAGAAAGTCAGAATTAGTAAATTTGATTTTAAGTACGTACTGTACGTACGTAGAAATTAAATAGCATAGTTATATAACAGTCACACGATTTGTCACGCAGATCATGGGGGTAAATTTTTTCCTATGAAATTTGAGTGATCGACACTTATAATGA